TTCAGAGAAGGACTTCAGGGAATCCAGTCCTCCTCCATCCCACTGTCTGTAAGTAAGAGTGTGTGTCTGTGTGTGAGACTGTCTGTGTGTAACTGTCTGCCTGTAACTGTGTGTGTGTGTCTGTGTGTAACTGAATGCCTGTAACTGTGTGTGTGCGTGTGACTGTCTGCCTGTAACTGTGTGTGACTGTCTGCCTGTAACTGAGAGTGTGACAGTCTGCCTGTAACTGAGTGTGTGACAGTCTGCCTGTAACTGAGTGTGTGACTGTCTGCCTGTAAATGTGTGTGTGGGGCTGCAGGGATTTTGTAGAAGGGGGCGGGGGTTTTGTATTGGGCCAGGAGTCTTTAAAAGGGGGGATAAGCAGGGGATTTGTGGAAGGGTGTTGTGGGGGTTTTGTAGACGGGGCAGTACAGGATTTGTAGAAGGAGCAGGACAGAGGTTTTGTAGGAGGGGCAGGACAGGACAAGGGTTTTGTAGGAGGGGCTGACAGCGGTTTTGCAAAGTTTACAAATTGTAAAAAAAAAAGAAAGAAAACCTTTAACATTTTTTACAGGTTTTTTTTTTTGGGGGGGGGGTGTGGTGCCAAGCACAGGATCCGCCCCTGGTGCCAAATGCTTTGGTATGCCCCTGTCTCTATGTATGATTGCTCCATGCTGACTGGCAGATGCACAAAGTAAAGCTTAGAATATAAAACCAGTAATTTCTTTTGTTGGAAACAAATCATCTTATTAAACATTCTTGTGAACACCATAATGCATCCAGCTGCTAATTTTTAAATCTTATAAGGCCACTTAAAAATACCCTATCTTAGCAAACACATATGAACATTTGGTCACCCCACATGGCCATATTGTGTTTAAGTCAACTTCTAATGCAAAATTGAGATCTTATTATTATTCATCTCAACTATGTTAAACAAAATGTCAGAGTTCAAGTGTTTTATCTAACAAGACACTACATATAACCAAATTACCCATTTTCTATTACAGTTATATAGTTGCATAATACTTTATTAATAATTATTATAAATTTATTTTTTAGCATTATTAAAAATTGAATGTATTCAACATTCGTTATTCATTATAATTTCCAGCTGGTCTTAATAAAGATTAACATAGTAAAAGTTTGGTATTGATTTTAACAAATCTGAATTATTTTTAAAGTTCTTGCACAAACTCCTTCTAGAGGTGTCTTTAATTCTGAGACTTGCAATCATAGATCTATCCTTCTGATGGATGAGAGATTTGTTCTGTATATAGATCATTCTTGCTAAACCAGGTCTTGCAGATAATGATACTTAAGAAAATGTTTAGAATAAGATTTATCAATTAACCATCAGAAAAAAAAAACGCTTGTGAAATTCAAATTCTTTAAAAGGAGTTTAGACACTGAACTCGCACACTGTTTGAGCTTGCTGTTATAGATAAATACCAGTGGTGGAACTACTGGCAGTGCAGCAGGTACGACTGCTCCAGGGCCCAAAGGATTTGGATCCCCTATTGTTGTTTTTTGAGCTATTGCAATGAACCATCCTGGCTACTCTAGTGCCACCAGTAGTTCCTGATGCACCAAGAGGGGGAGGTAGAGCCAGACAAGGAGTAAAATGTGGAGTCTAAGCATGTGCAGCCTTGCTCAGGACTCAAAATGAGACTCCTAGAAGTCAGAGAGTAACAGGAAATTACAGGAAATTATATTAGAGGTTAGGAGAGTGATAACTCACTAGAGCCAGCTCATTGTCATGTTAGGAGAGGGGGTGTTAAAGAGAGGATTAGACCAGAGACAGTGGGAGAATTAGTGACCCTACAGCTGCCAGATTGGGTGACTGAAAGATAGTGACCCTTATTATCCATGATTCCTACTTCTGGAATGAGTGATGAGGTGGGGAAACTGTCTTACATAACCTGGAGCCATCCTGCACATTATACTACTGCCCCTTCAGACTTCCATCAGCCACAAGCATCACCTACAGGACCCCAAAAGCTAGGGTGGTTAAAAATATGTAAATTATGACTTGTGTGTGTCTGTGTGTGTAAATGTATCTGTATCTGTATGCCTGTGTGAGTATATGCATCTGTGCCTGTGTGTGTGTGTGTGTGTTTGCCTGTGTGTCAGTATGTGTGTATAAGTGCATATACCTTTGCATTCAAACACCAGCACTATACACAAACACACCCCTGTATCCATACACTCAAAACATGCTTACAGTCAAACGCACAAACACAAAACACAAAACACAGATACATCCCTGCAAATGATCCACTAGCCAGAAAAGCATCGTGAAGGTTGGATAACAGTTGAGGATCTGCCTTTTTGCACCATGGCCTTCTCTGCATTGGTACCACCATTGATAATTACTAAGGTTGCTGTTATACTATCTGACATGATGATAACAAAATAGGATGAGAAAGATTCTGGCACTTACTAAAAGCATTTGGTTTACACAGGCACTTTATTGTATGTGGCTTTACTGACATATGGATGATTTATATACTCTAAAGACAAGTTGGAAATGTATATTCTTAAATAGAGCAGCAGGTTATCTATACATTCCTACTTATACATACATACATTGATACCTCTTGGGTGTCACTTAATTATTTGCCACACATTTTATTGGTCCTTCATCCATAATAACTTGAGACTGTCAGACTGATACTAGGCATGCAATACATATTTTAACAATGTTTAACCCTTAAATATCTGATAAATTATTCAAAACATATTGAGCTGGAAGATGCAAAATCAAAATCCATCACGTTTATTCATGGAAATGAATTCATAAATGTGACTGATTGCAATTATTTCAAGTTGACTGATATAACAAATTATACAATGTATGTTATTAGGTTATTAAAAAAAACAAAAAACATTTTCTATGCATCACAAAACAAACATCTATATGGTTTAACAACATAGAGCTATATAGATGGATGGACAGCCAAACAAGCAAACATAGATACAGATAGACATACTGACAGATAAGCAGACTTACAGATAGACAAACTAACAGACAGGCAGAACTACAGTATGACAGACAGACAAACTGCCAGAAAGACAAACATACAGTTTGACAGACAGACAAAATGACAGTCAGGCATACATACATTTGACAGACAAACACACTGGTTAGACAGGTAGAGAGAGAGAGAGAGAGAGAGAGAGAGAGAGAGCGAGTAGATAGACAAACAGACATGCAGGCAAGCAGGAAGACAGACAAACATGCAGACAGACATCTACTATGTTTTATTAGTGTTAGATTGCTAAAAGAATGCCTTTGAAGTAGATTTAGTCCACATGAGTTTAAAGCATACTTTTTAAAAAGCAGTATTGTCACCTCAGGTGTCTGAACTTCATGTTCTGTACATGCAGGCATAGAAAATCAAATGAGGTAATTATCATTATATAACGATTGTAAGAGACCCTTACAAAAACAAGCTTTATACTGATCTGTTATACTTAGCAGGCTGAGACAGCTTGTTCATTGTTCATAACACAGTATGAGCTAGCAAATACACAGCTTGCAGTCTCTGCAGAGTGGACTTAAAACAAAAAACATCACATGGATACTTTTGAAGCACATTACCCTGGGCAGAGTTACTGAATGCTGAGTTTAACGCTTTTATTTTTATTATTATTTATTCAGTAATATCTTGTTATGATATAGATTTATTTGCAAGAACACAGCTTTGTTGTGTACAAAAAAGTCAATTAGACATTTTAGAACAAGACAAGTTTTTGTATAGTCTCCTCGAAGACAACTTTTTTATACAAGATTACGCTATTATTATTATTAGAGGTGATATATGCTTATTACTTGATTTGGTCTGACAAGTGGTGAAGGAGAACATCTGCTAGGAAAAATGTATGCATTTATAGGCTCAGAAAATTGGACATATTGGAATAGAAAACCTGCTGAACTAAATGTGGATAAGTTTGCAAAGTAAGAAGTCAAACTGTTTAGCAACATTATCTGGACAATATGCAAACTGTCTATAACAATGTATAAATGATTTTCAATGCAGAGATGGAAGGATGTATAGATAGATAGAAAGATAGATAGATAGATAGATAGTGTGACAGATCACCTGTCCATGGATTATTGTTTTATTTTACTTGGTTCGGTATACGAACACCCCCATACAGACTGAACAACTTGGTATACCAAACTATCTACTGAATGGATTGACCACCCAGAACAGTTACTCATTAACCTGGCTGACCTCTTTTCACATTTTTGAAAACCGCAATTACCAACGTTCTAAGTGGTCGGCTTGGTGGCCGTCATTCGTATGGCTGAACACGAGGTGGTGGACATCTTTACTTCCCGAACGTGGCCAGCGGTGTTTGTCATAGAGTATATGAAACTAAAACTGAGCCCATTTTGGATATGTTGGGTACTCAGATCCAAGCTATCCAGGTATATAGTATTTAGGGGGGGGGAGGGGGTACCGCACTGTTAATTATGTGTTTTGGGGTGTTGGAATAATGAATGTCCTGGAACTGAGAGATAATGTAATTATGTATGTACTTTTCTGTAGTCTACTCTCAGGTCCAGTGTGGAATGCCCCGGGAATATGTAAGTAGAAACCCCTTGCATGGGGACTTGTATATAAAGCCAGCTGTGGCTCACATTAAATCAGTTCAGTTTCACCCTCAACACAGAGCCTCGTCTCGTGCTTGTAGGGAACTGCTAAACCCGCTTCTTTACTGCTTTTATTTCTGCTTGGGAACATTTCAGCACTACTCATACTTGAAGGGAAAGGACATCTCTGGTGGCAGAAACCCTTGTTCTCACAGGGTGATAGCGGTACCACATTTGGTGGTAGCGGTGGGATGGTCCTTGTTTCCCCAGAGGACATGCTGAATGAATGGAGACCCAATATGACAAATTGAAATGGCTGACTTTGAAAAACTTATTGGAAAGTTGTGGCCGCACAGGCAGCAACCGACCACGCAGGGAATTGATTACGGAACTCATGGAAATAGGCCAAACCACTACAATGGCCAAACCTATTATACTGAATATAGAAGAAGATGAAATACTGCGGTCTGTTCAGTTGAGATTAACACTGTATGGACCTAATCCTCACACCAACCTTATTGCCCAGGTGTTCAATGAAGTCAAAACCGAAGTCGGGGAGAAACGGCAATACCAGCTACGCTTGGCAGACATACAGCGGCCCGGGAACCCAACTGTGGAAAACGTTGTATACCCTCCAGAATGGAAGAAGGTACCCTTCTGATAAATTGACGGATACCTTGCAGACTTTGAAAGGCAGTGTGCACTGCGTAAGGTACCCCTCGCTGAATGGGTCACCATTTTATCCAGTAAATTGTCGGGTAGAGACAACGAAGTCTTCCGGGGCTATACCAGATGAAGATGTACCACTACCCAGCAGTTAAGGAAGCCTCACTCACCCGGTATGCCATTACCCCCGAGGCATACCGCTGGCGATTCCGGGAAACAAAGCCGAGTGGGCATACCGCCTCCACCGTACGGCATCCCACTGGGTCACCGGATGCCAAGCAGTATCGGCAGAGGATGTGTTACCGTTATTTCTCCTGGAACATTTTTTAATTCTTTCCAGCCAGAACTCAAAGAATGGATTCAGGAACAGCGACCCCTCACCTTACCCGAGGCTGCCCACCTAGCCGATGAGTATACGAAACACGAGGCCTATGGAACAGTCGACCGGGAGGCTTTTTTCTTCACCCAGATTTTCAGGCTCCAGTCCCTTCAAAAGAACCAACGATGTGTGAGCGCTATAGAATATGGCACAGACAGTATGGCAGCACTTAACCCAGTGATACAAAAAAATGTACACAGAATATAAAACAAATAGTTACCAAAAAAGTGCTATACAATGATCTGTAAATATGAAAAGAGACAGATAATAGTCCAAACTATCTGGACTAGAGAAAATAAAAAAAGTGGGTATGAGGGAAAAACACACATGTACCAGAGCCCTATCACCCCTGACTCTGGGTATTCGATGCTCCACTGGAGAGGGAAAATCCCCACACTGATGGAAATTCCAGGCAGTATATTCACTGGAAGCTGGTGGTACTGTACAATATAGGGTAGAGAGAGGCAGGATCTTCAATTGAATAATATCAAATGCAATTTATTAAAAGACAATAGTTAAAAACTCTTACTTTATAAGTGGTGGGTTATGCTGGCATAGCTACCCACATAAAAGCATGAAAACGGCAAACAGAAAGTCACTTCCTGGTTTTGTCCGCCCCGATCATGTGATCAGCTTCCGGATGAGCCTCTCAAGTGACGTGTATGTGACGCGTTACTCCTGCCTCCACAGGCTTCCTCTTACACCGTCATAATCCTCGAGCCCTCTCTTTTGAACGTCTTTCTCCACCCCCTCTGTTGTTTCATTGGGCGGGGGGCATGGTCTGACCGGTAAAGCTGATCGAGTTCCTTCTTTGTAGAGATACGAATTAGAACTTACTTATCTATATACACACTTAATCTAGCTGGCGATCTTTAATCAATTAAGGGCTGGTTTCTACCCAATTATTGCACACAAATACTAAATCAAACAGACAAAAGAACCTAAATTATTTTATAGTTCAAACCCAGTTCATATGAATAGACTTTCATAGGTTTCAATATTAAATCGGCATTTAGCCAATACAGACAGAGACTCCAATTGAATCTCTACATGTATGTAAAGCAACCCAAGGACATCTAATTTTGCATATTAAATTGAGTTAAAGGAGTATCATTGTATTATAGTTAAAAATTTGAAAATTTGAAAGTTTAATATGACTAGATACATTTTTAAAGAGATATTTACTTCTATAATATCGCACTATATTTTATATGTTTGTCCTCAAGGGACAGGGAGTTAAAATGGATCGAATAAATCTAAAAGACCCTTATTGAGATTCCAAAAATATTAAATATTACAAAATAATAAAAAATAGAAGAAAAATGCAGATACTAAAAAGACTGTTTCCAGTCCTTTCACCCCATCCAGACTTCCGAGCTCCCATCCCTCCAGGCCCCACTCGTTACCAGGGACCCCCTAGGTTCCAACCAAACCGTACCAAGATTCAGTGTAACCACTGCAAGGAGTGGGGGCATATACGCAGCGATTGCCCCATATTACCTCCACAGGGCTCCTGGGGGCCCCTTAAAACCAGCAGCCTTCCATACTCCACCGTCCACTGTTTGAGGCTGAGGCCAACCATGAAGAATATCTGGGAGTACTCTATGAGGCTAATCCGATACATGCAGCTACCGAAGACAACCGCCACCATCACCGGCAAGTTGTGCTGGTAGATGGTCAGTGTCCCTGTTTTCAGGAACACTGGAGCTACCCTGACCATCATACAGTGCCACTTGGTTCAAGATAAGGCACACACCATGCAGACTGTAGCTGTTCAAGTAGCTGGGGGAGCTACCTCCCCACCACCCGAGTCCACCTAGATTGGGGGGCTGGGTCCGGCACTGTGAACGTGGGGGTTATGAGCCAATTGCCCACTGAAGTACTATTAGGGAATGATTTGGGTCCCTTAACTACGCTACCCTTTGCTACCCTCAGAACCTGCTGAAGCCAACACAGTTACCACATGCTTGCAAGCCAAAGCTGCTGAAGCCATCCAACCAGCAAGGGAGAGGCAGGTAAGACAATCACCCCCTACTATGACAGTAGAACCTACCGCATCTCTGGCAGCGGAAACCCCTGATTTCACGGGGTGGCCACCAAATATAGCTATATAGATAGACAGACAGACATTGTGTGTAAGGAATGACGTGAATAATAATTTATTATAATAAATAATAATATATCACTGAAAAGAAAAATGGAATCTAGCCACCCTCTAAAGGATAGAAAGACAGGTATAGGATATTTTCGAAAATGATACTGAAAATTGGAAGGGACACTATAGGCACTATAACTGCTTATCTCATTGACTTGTGATGCTGACCATGAATGGATGGCAGTGATTGGCTGAAAGTGTCAGCTGACAGCATATCACAAATGCCCATTACTGATATAAATAGATCTTGTGTGTTGACTCTGCATTAGTCATAGCTCAAGTGGGCCAGGTTGTGGATGGCTAGTTAACTTCACTAAGTGTTAAACTGCTTGAACATGGTTTAACACTGAATCATCCATTCAGTGTTAAATAATTCATTCAGTGTTAAAGGTTAGAGGATTTTCAAGCACTACAAATAATTCATTGAGATTATTATTTTATTATTATTTTATTATTTATATAGCGCCATCAGATTCCGTAGTGCTGTTCAATGGGTGGACTAACAGACATGTAATTGAAACCAGATAACTGGACGTACAGATAGAAATGATAACGGAAGCCAAAGGAGCTGATGAGTTTACCAAGGGAGGTAGTGTATAAAGAGAATAGTAGGGGACCAAGGACAGAACCTTGGGGTCACCGACAAAGAGTGGTTGGGGGGAAGAGACAGAGTTAGAGAAAGAAACACTGAAAGAGCTCTAGGAGAGGTAGGAAGAGCAGCAGGAGAGAGCAGTATCCCATAGACCAAAATTACAGAGAATGCGAAGAAGCTGTTGATGATCAACAGTGTCAAAGACAGCAGAAAATTACATTAATTGCAAATAATGCAAACTGCAACTTTTTTAAATAACAAAGGATTTTATTTGTTATTTTATTTCTTAAGTATACGTGTAATTGTTTAGTTTAAAAAAAGAAATGCAACTGTGAAAAATTCATTATCTAATATTCTAAGTTTAAGCAGTCTGATTAATTTACTATTCTATCAACATGTTAAATATTCTGTGCTACTCCATTGGTGTTTATGTCTATGGTACAGATATGAATTACATACAAACATAATTATACATGGGATACAGGAATAAATTATTGTTAACTGTAAAATAAATGTAACTAATAAGTAGTGCACAAATATTACACAAAAATGCCAAACCCTTTCATGACAGATAATTTGTCAAGAATGGCAATGAAGATGCATTGTAATGTATCTAACACACAAAATATTTTTTGTTCTTCCAATAACGAAAGAACTTAAGAACGTGACAGTGAAGGTGTTGAATAGAGTTTTTTTTTTCCATCTGTCATAAATGACGATGCAGAGAAACTGAAAGTAACTACCTTCTGACTGACCACTTTTCACAAATAGGAGAATTTTATATAACCCACTGTGAACTTACTATGTTATTGTAAAGTCAAACTAGACAATTAAAAATATTTGCTATCAATATGAATATTGCTCTTTGACTTCTGTAGGTGCTTAATTCTTACATTTTAGCCATTTTAATTAGAAAATACTCTTCTTGTGATTACGTCTCATACATTTATAACAATTCACAAATTTTTTGGTTGGCTCACTAATTAAAGGTTTGTTACGTATGTCATTAGCTGGAAATCTGAGTAGGGTTTTTTTTTTATGTAAACCTGCATAACTAATATTCCTATTAGTTTTATTATGCAAATTATTACTAAGGTGTATGTGACAGATTCATCTGTAGGACTAGTATTGCTGGTTCGCCTAGTTTGCCTCCCTTCGCGGAATTGCCTGTCCATATGCCCCTATTCGTCTTTTTGAACTCATACCGAATGAACTTACCAAACAGACGGCCACCCAGAAGAGAAGTGTGCTGCTGGTTAACCTCTAGGCCCCAATTAGAACGTTGTGGTTAACCGCAGACACCTCTTAATTATAACCGAATGCCGGGTGGTCGTCGTTCGTATGCCGACCACGAGGGGGCGGACATTTTAGAACACGCAAAAGACCAGCGGTATTCGACGCAGATTCTATGGAACTAAAAATGGACACTTTTTTCTACCGAACACCGCTGAATCTACCGACAGCCCTTCTCATTCATCGAGGCATGCGAACACCGGTCCGTTCGGGAGTTTGGATGATACGAATGAAATTAACCCAAATAGCCATCCCATGGAGTCAATCGCATACCGAAAAGACCTGTAAAAGACTTTGACTCCATGGCGATTGAACTGTGCATATGGGATCGGAGCGCTATTCGGTAGAAATATGCACTCAGATCCAGGCTATCTGGGGATACGTTACACGAATGTAATATGTTCGGTATTTGTACAATTATAAATTTTTATGTGTTTTTTATGTTTCATTTGCCTCTGTCCTGAGAGATAATTGAATTACTTCTCAATTATCTCCAGGGCAAAGGGGAGGAAACCAGGATGCATTGTGGGAATATTCTGTGACTGTATGTCCTAAAGTGATATA